CAAATATTTTCAATTTTATACTACTTTCGATTCGTTTATTTTAAATGGAAAGTATTTGTGTTAATGTTTCTTTAAATCTACGAAAAATTTGGACAGCACCAAACCGAACGGTTTTTGGAATTATTTGGGTTTTATAAAAAGACATTATTTTCAGGATATTGTAAAATTGATTTATTTATTTATTGTCCCTTAACAGGCTTATAGGGTAACCCATATAATGGTTTTTTAGAGGTGTCCCTGCAGAAGGTTTTAAGTTCTATACTACTCCGGCATTGACCTTACGAATTACGAGAACTGCAGGAAAACCTAATTCGGAGTAGCCGGCAGAATGCTGGAAACCGATCTAAGGAAATTCCTGTCTCTGCCACAGATGATTGTGCAGGGTGAATTGAACAGATGAAAAATTCACTTCAGCCCAGGTTCGAACACCCGACTACCCGTCTATGTAGCCCAACGCTCCACTATTGAGCCACACAGTCGGGTAAATAAAGCATAGACGTTGTGCGTTATCTAAAATATAATATTTTTAAAGCTATGAGAATAGTAAAATTTTTTTAAATGAGAACCCTCTTTTCTTTGTCCACTCATGGATTCTACACTGAAAAATAAGGGTAGTTTCTAATCACATCCTTATATCTAAATTGAACAAATTTTGCAGAGGGTGGAAGTTTCGCATTTTTAAAACTGCAACATTGGATATGAATTTCTGCGCATTATTGAAATGTTTTGGACACTTTTGCCCTATGACGTTAGACCTATGCTGTATTTAAGCAGATCTCTCGTGGCTGCAAGTTTAGATCTGTCGATTTCGGCCTATGATCTCAAAGTTACACCAAAATTTGCGTAGATTAAGAAAAGTATAACTGAAAATAGTACAAAACTGAAAATATTTTGGCTGAATGAACAACCTGTATACGTACAACGCTTTAATGTTTCATATAATAATTCACTCGGCTCGTGGACACCCTGTATACACATTACTTAGATTAAAAGAAATGATACAAACCACTTTGAGTATTTTCCACCCCATTGTGATGTCCCAATTTTCCATCAGTTTCATGTAAAGCTGTTATTGGTATCCCTTAATTTTGGTACCTATGTTTGGGGATGTTGCTTCCAAACGAAATTTGTTTGAATCTTGGTTTAATAGAATATTCCTTTTACTCGTGTCATCCAGACTTTTGTTTCAATATTTATACCATTACGATATTCCAAAATCTTCCCCTCCCCTTCCACTAGAGTTATCTAAAATCAGTTCAGATTTACTATGTTTTGAAATTTTAGCTGTACTTATCTCAATATACTGTGCGATCAAAAATGAGTTGCTGTCGAGTCACCTTTGGAACATTTGTTTACATGGGAAATCGTATTTAACTTGAACTTCCATAGGCGACTCGACAGCAACTCATTTTTGATCGCCCGTTATGTTGTATCTATTATTTTACTTTTGCTTTTGTGAGCCAATGGGTTTCCACGCTACAATTGATCCACTCGAAGAATCCGGCTGGTTTCAAATAAACAGGATAGCCATTCCTTGTTGGCTCGCTTGTTGGTCGGTCAATGCGCTGGTCAAATTATCCAATGAGCACTTGAGGATAGCCCAACGAACTTAGGCAAAATTTACTTACCTTGCTCACAGATGATAGTTATATAATTAAGCTGACCATTTAATAAAACACTTGCAGAAAAAGCGTAGACCGTGAATCACTAACATATGGCACTCGTCTACTGCTCGTCTCCCAAACTCAGCTTTGAATGAAAAGTGCGTCGTTTGCAACTGTCTTACCAGAACAAAAGCCGAATAGGCCATTTTAATAATATGTCTAGGATTGGCCAACCCCTTCCCCACTCTAATATAAAGTGGTGGGGATAGACCACGCCCAGAACAAAACCGAGCCCTACTTATGCTCTCCATTTAATAAAATTATACCTTTAATTTTATTGCAATTATACCGCTAATTATAAAGAGAACTTCTACTACCCCTTACGTACCACAACCTTTAATTAAAAGTGTCGATGTGCCATAACCGTATTGGTCGATTATTAATGAGAAATGAAAACTGGGTTTAATTTGTGTATTTATTTTAATTACAGGGAATACAACAAAATCTATATGTCAGCATTGTGTACGTATACCTATTATTATCTGTACTCCTGCAACTTAATATCTGTACTGTATATACGAGTAGTTTTACCCTCATGACTGTAACGTTTTCATTTCTAAAATGGGTCAAACTTAGAATGGTAAAATTATTATTTGAAAATATTCCCTCGCTTAAGAGATACGGGAGAAAATAAAAAATTGGCATTTTCATAATGGCTTCATATTTTCTTAAACAGAAAAATGTTTTTCGAAATTGATTATTGAATAATCTGCCGTTTTCAGAATAAATATACGGGGTTATTATTGCCTTATTTTTTTAATGGAACACTGTATATTTTTAGGTAATAAAATAGCATTTAAATTCCTTTTTCAAAATATAACACTGAAAAATTCAAAAAAATTCACATGGATGTTTAAAAAATTCAAAAATATGTTTGAACTTTCTTTGAAATATTTGAATCTTTTTTTTTAAATCACATGAATCTTTTCTCAATAGGCATTCTTCCTGTATTATATTTTTGAAGAAAGAATTTTATGTCTTTTTAAATTAAAAGAAAAATAGGGAACTGGGCCCATAATTCCACAAAGTACACCCCAATCGTATGACGTTTACTGCAGCACATTTATTTAGCTTCTGTTTTTTCCACTCACTTAATTGGCCGTATCCAAATTTCCAGAGTCGATATTCCAATTCACACCCATTGTTAATTGGAATTCGCAGGATCAATCGGGTCGGCGCTATCTGGTTGATAACGGGTAAACTTGCATGGCCTTGCGGTGCATTGGCTCCCTTTAAATTTACCATAAAAATCAAAACCTGCCTGAAATTTTAAAATATTAATTTGCCTCTTCTTCCGTGGAAGGTTTGAGTGCACTACAACTACTTTTTTGTGCGCCAAGAGGGCAACAACCCTCGAATTTCTTGATATTTCTAAAGGCCCAAACAAACTTCTGTATAATTTCGGAGGAAATTTCCAAGTAGGTAGTGTACAGTGCTATTTATTAAGAAGTGGACATAGGGATTTACGTATATATTGTTTTTCCCCTTGTCTACTTTTAAATTACGAAACCTTTTCTGAAGGGCGCCTAATTTTATGCAACTAACTTCTTAAAACAAATGAAGATCTGGCTGTCCTTATTAATTAATTTTCCAATTGTTTTGACTTCACAGAAAATAAATCCCTTACGCTCCTTGAACTGTTACCAATTGTCAACTTTTTCTTCAGTTGAATACATCGCACACGAACGAAAATAAAAATAGAGAAACCAAAGCAACAATATTCAAATTAGATTAATTAATCTAATCTTTATTTGTTTTAAAAAGTTGGTTGCATAAAATTAGGCGCTCTTCAGAAGAGCTTTTGTCATTTGAAAGTAGAAAAAACAACACATGTAAATCCCTATGTTATTTTGGGTATTTCGAATGGTGTTTCAAGAAAATGGGTATTTTCAGTGTGTTTTTAGTCTACATAATCTTTTCAGTGATTCTCCCCTCGTTCAGCATATTTTCCACGGACAATTTCGAAATCTGTGTAAATAATCGTATTGCTAATAATGTAACAAAATGAGTTCATCTTAACGCAAGTAAGTTTACAATTACATTTTCCACTTAATGCTAATTTAGAAAACAATCAAATCACCGCAACAAAATGTCCGGAGAGAACGTGATCGTGACTGTAAATAACAGTACTTGACTTTTAATTTTTTTTCTTCTTCATGAACTATTGGAAATAAAATCCTTCCGTATTTAGCTCGTTATTCGCCCTTTGCACAAATGGAAATAGTTGCATTTATTTCACGTAATTGTCAAAGCAGTCGCTAACGGATGAATAATTGAAAATTGAACGATTGGTCTGTGAAATTCCCACAATTAATAAAATTCGAAATTTCATTTATGAATAATTTCGTTTGTAATTATTACGTTACACCTTTTATGGCGGCTTTAACGATTTTATGGCATGTTTTATGGGCGCGTTGGCTTTTAACCCTGATGTGCATTACGCACCTCGGAAAAATGATGATTTTTAAGCCGAAAAATATATTGTTAGTTTAATAGACACCACGATCCTTAGTTTTGTGTAATGGCATTGTTAATTAATGGAAACGCTTAAGGGAGATTTAAGAAAATGACATTTTCATTCAGCGACTTGCTTTTGTCATTGCAAGAGTTACCCTGTTATTTAAATTCAAAAATTAGTAAAAAATAATAGGAATCCGTATTCAACAATTTTAAGCGTTCGGAGGAAAAGGAAAAACCGTCTGTAAAGGGCGTATACACTGTGTCCAAGATAAGGATATCTATCATGAGGATTTCCGTTTAATTTTTGGTTTCAACAGGATGGTGCACCTGCGCACAACGCTCTAATAGTGCGTGTGTACCTATCAGACATTCCATATTTCAGGAAATTTGTTCGATAGGTTACAACGCTTAGCGTGGAGAAGAACGAAAACTGGCGGAAGAAACTGAATTTGTAAATTCTAAAACCAAGGTAAACCATCCGTTAACATTTCCCTACCTATCTAAAGTGGACGTGTTTTTTGAAATTTTTTGTTTTCTTTAAATCGCTAAATTGCTATAGACATACTAAGTGCGGTGACACCTATGGCGATATTTCACTTGGAAGATAGTGCATCTATTCTGACGGTTCATATGTGGTTAATTCAATAAAACGCCTGTATAAACTAATTCAATTTGTCTACTTCATCCGAGTACTATTTATTATCTTTATCCTTAAATTTAGATGCGATAATGTAAATTGTTACAATTTCAAACATCTTAATTGATATTGAACAGAAGTATTTTTGTCTAACTGTCTAAATTTGATTTCAGGTACGTTCGCCGATGTATAAACCGTGCGTCGAATTCGAGGTCGATTCTTGGGTATGTAATTTTATTTATTTAAATTATTTTGATGGTATCGCAATTGATCTTCTTTAATTGAAAGCAGTTTCCTCGAATTGCGACAGGTTTCTTGAGTACAAAATATGAGATTGTGAAATTAGATCCGCGAGTTACCCATCAAAACGCAACAAACATGAGTGGATTTACACACACACAGGCTAAGATGGCTAAAGCCTAGGGGGAGGCAGCAAATTGATCACTCAGTATTTTCACTTCGAAAAGTCAATTTCTTTTAGGGTTTTAATTTTAGCAAGTTTAGACCTCCCGTTGTTTCGATGGAAACAATCTCGGAAATAATGCTGTTTTCTGTTTTTTTGATCCGCGTCTTATTTGTAATAAGAATGACAGATGTATTATAATGCGCAATCATTTATTTTTCTATATCTACCCTTGCTGTTAAAGACCTTGCCAATTTAACATCTGCTATAAGTAAACAATTATTCATTCACTGTTTTATGTTAACATTTATTATTTATCCACGGCGAACTTCAATATTAACAAACGCGATTACCATGGCATCCACTTTAGTATGGGCACTTCATAATTTTGAATTTTAATTTACGAAAACGTTCAGATTAAACAAAATGCGAATAAAATGTATTTGGACCGTCGTAAATTACATTTTAAATGATTCCATGTGGACGCCTCAGGGTTTTAACGTTGCACGCATGATAATAATAATAATAATAATAAATAATAGCCTAAAATGAATTAATTCGTACCTATCTGGCAGATTTCTGCATGTTATGTGCGATCGAGTGGTCTCTGACAAAGAGAGGCATTTCTCAGGGATCAATTTTAGGTCCTCTATTATTACTCATATATTTTATTTTGCTATACAAGGCAGTACTTAAGAAGAAACTCTAATTCTAAAAGATAAATGAATCTTCTGAATAGTGCAAAACTGAATTATTCACAAATAAAACTGAGAAGCTGCCCCAAACGTTAAAAAGGGATACTTATGAAAATTCCCAGTCGGTAAACTTTCTAGGGGTGCATGTTGACGGATCTTTAAACTTTTCAATGGGCGCCAGCTATATTTGCAAAAAAATAAGCGGTAATATTTATGCACTACGGCGTGTTAGTAACAGTGTATCAAAACAAACTTTAGTAGGACACTAGCAGCCTATTATATGCTTTAGTACACTCAATAATGCAGTATGGTATACTAATTTGGGGCAACTGTGCTTCAGCGACGGATGTATTTGGACTCCAGAGACTTGACTGTACTGAGACGAACGTAGGCAACGAAAAATAAATAAATTATTAAAAAGGTTAACAAAAAACAAAATCAATAATTATGAAATACCTACTTGTGAAATGGGTAGCTGAAGGTTTTAGAGACATGTGGTAGCGTAGACCCAAGTTGTGGTATTTGTCCATACGTGTGATGTAGTCTGCTATATAGTTTAATTAATTTGACAATTGTAAGTGCCATTGCGCATAAACACGAATAAAGATTAAAAAATCTCCATCTTAATAATAATAATAATAATGTGTTTATTTCCACCAAATTAAAGAAATGGAAACCACAGGGGTTATCGGTTCAGTTGCTGCACAGGCAGGTTCTGATCTTCCACCGACTCCCTGAATACAATTAGAATTAACATAATCAAGTAATGCTTATAACTGAGTAATATAATAAAAAGGAAAATATGAAATAGTAATAAATGCACATAGGAGTAACTAAATGAGAATGAGATGAAAAGAGATCGAGTAATATACTAAGAATCTTCAAATCTAGCAATTTTTAAATTACAACTCCGATCGTATACAATCAGAGCGAATTAATTAAATCAATTCACATAACAAGCAACAATTTCTCATAGATAATTAGATCCTGGAATAATTTAAACGTACAAGGGGTTATTACAAATGGTATAATTAAGTGGAATAATAAATCTGTGCTACTGGAAACGTGCAGCATTTCCGTTATTATCGAGATAGATATTCCCACCACTTCTGCAAATAGAGTGGGGGTGCATCTGCACTCTCGGCGCTTTTCTTAAATGGAACAATCCGCAGAGAAGCCGTTATAATTACAAATTGAATTACGTGGCCCACTTCGGTAACAGACATCCCCACCACTTCTCGAAGATGGGTGGGGAACTAGCAGTTTGCTTTAAAAGTGGGCACATCAACACTCTTGGCGCTTTTCTGCAATGAACGGATCCACAGAGCAACCTTTTTTTGGGCTAATAACAAAATGCCTGTATTCTCTAGGGTGTGTTCTGGCAAGAAGCTATAACCTTAAACAAAAAATAGCTTTATTAATATCGTCTCTCGTGCCTTTGCTATATCTTTGCTTAGCTCTACCAGATTGGATTGATTACTTGGTGAACGTCGACACCGAGAGTGACGCGTATTCGGATGATGTGATGTATATGATCGCTTTTATTTGTGGTATGTGTTCATTGCAAAGTTTCATCATATATTTCACAACCCTTTTTAGCAACTGTCCGAGGAGTAATACTAAGGTTAAACGTGCTCAAGCTGGGCAATCTTCTTCACATCATGGAAAACATAGATGTTCCACGGGCAAAACCGAAATTAAATGTGAACGCGGAAATTGCGAAGAGTCGAAAGATACTAAACCGAATTGTGAGTAGAATAAGAGATACGGGCCAACAATATTTTTTTAAGGTGGCGTTGACTTTTTCACTTCCGACTGTGGCTGTAATATTGGCAACTATACGATGGTTCTTTGAAAAGGAACATTCGAACCATTTACCATTTGGTATGCATCCTCAATGGGCGTTAAACATTACCTACATTGGGTCTCTAATTTATCAAGTTGTGTCATTTACAACTGTAGGTACTGAAAATATTACTGTTGACTGTCTGCTTGTATGCATGTTGATTCTTCTTCTAACGCACTATCGCAATATTCCACAATATTTTTATAATCTTACGAGGAACAGTATTGAAGATTTTTCTGATGTGAGTGATGGATCGTGGTGTAAAATCCATTCTCATGTATAGGTATATGTACATACAGGTTGAACATTTGGATGCTAATTCCGTACACTACAAAGACGTTCCTTGGGAGTACTTCCTCAGGAACCTAAAAGAAGCGATTGAATATCACGTAAAAATTACGGAAGTTGCTAAGGAAATTGAGGACATTTTCCACAACGTCCTTCTAGTTAGTTTCACAATGAACAGCCTAGTGACTTGCTTTTCAATTTTTCGTATTACTAATGTAGTAACTCAAAATTGCATAATTGGCATAAAATCTAACCATTTTCAGACTCCGTTATTCGGCGCTACCTTTTGGAATATGTTCCTGTACCTCAGTGCAACTTTCGATTTATTTTTCTTGCAATGTTGCCTACTCCAGAAGTTAATCGATGAATCTTGGAATATATCGGACGCCTGTTTTCAATCGTATCATCCTGGTATTGATATTCGTATACACAACGCGCTGATAATTATTATGAGCCAGTCTCAAAATAGGCCAGTTCGTGTAACAATTGGAAAGTTTGTCGCAATTTCGCATGCTGCTATTATTACTGTAAGTGAATTCCAGAAATATTTTTTATACACAAATATTTTCTTTGCAGATTATAAGAGTAATTTACTCGTTTTTGATGTTGTTACTTCATCTGAAAGCAGAACAGTAATATTCAATGCGTTTATACTGACCAATTTTATATTTTGGTCATTAAGCAGCACCAATTGCACTACACTCAATAAATATCAGTATTGTATATGTGTACATTTCCTTTTGATGGGTAAATACATTTATTGAATTTTATTTAATAAAGTTCACGTTCCTAAATGTTCGAACAGTCAAGAGTGTACCTGATGTGGTGTTGAACAGTTTTGATGAACTTCGGCGGCAGAAATTTGGGAACTGTCTTTACCTCCCGCATTCCGATCAGTTCCGATGATATTCGAAAAAGAACCAAGTCAACCATATTTGTTTTTATAGAGATAATACCTCGGATAATACTCAAACGACAGTAATTCCGTATATAAACACGGAAATTCAAAAATGTAAGAACGTTTGAGTGTGAATTATTAACGAGCTCCTAGTGAATTCATAATTTTGCGGTGTTTGTCTGTCCGTTAGAATAGTATCTCGAAAACAAATTACGATCAAATTTTGCAGGTGGATCTTTTATCAAATTTGTCGATCGTGATTTGGTAATGTAGACCAAAAAATAAGGTATGAAGGATATGAACCGAATTGCATTAATTTCAAAATAAGCGTAGCTTTAGCCATATAACACGCAATGGCAAGCTATAGTCATACCCAAGAGCTCGTTTGCTATATTTGTTTAATTTATTACAAATTAAGTCGTTTTAATATTTATATTTTTTTCCAATGTTACTTGGCTCAGCTGCATTAAGCTTAGAGTACCACTGCCGATGAGATCGATTTGTCCATGAAAGATATATTTATTTTATAGCTTTCAGAAAAACTTCAGCGATTTCACATGACGTTCAGGTGCTACTGTCAGAAGGGACTTTCTAAAGAGCACGTAAAAAGCCTCCTGATGAGAGTTTTGCTTAGATATTTCTGTTATTACCGACTTTCGCCTTTCCTGTGAGATTGTTTAAAGACGGACGAATTTGAAGTTTTGGATGCGAATATTCCTTCGCAGTTTTATCTTAAAATAAGTAATTTAAATTGCAATAAAAATGAAACTAGGAGTAAACGAGATACTAAAAAGTAAAAACAATCGACTGGTCTTGGTATTAACGATCGGGTTTATCACTTAATGTAGGTACAATATTAACCACTCAGCATGGTTCGTTCAGTTTAATGTTAAAAAAATGTTGTCTATAACAAATCGCTGCAATTGAATTGCTTGCACCATGCACCAAAATAACAGACAGTAAGTGACTCTGTTTTGAACCAGAAAACTACTCAGCTCAGCTCAAAGTAGGACTGGTTTTAGGTCTTTAGTCCCTGGTATTTTTCAAAAATACAAAACTTACAACCAATCTTCTGTTTTTTTTTACTAACATTTAGTCGAGTACTGATACCTTATAACAAAAGTTTAATGCCAATTAATAATTTTGAATGCTTACCTACTTGCGGTTATGCAAAGCGCGATATCGCAGTGATTAAATATTGGCTATCGCACATACTTCCACCTAAACACATCTAAAATTCTCGAAAAGTTTTGATTATTAGAATTCAAAATTTTTAGCGCGTTTTTGAAAAAAACAAACAAAATGGTCCGATATCACTGAGGTGCCACTGTTTTACAATCTCTTGTGAGGTAGTGCATACCCCTCCTCCCCCCGAGCCCTCCTTGATATCATCCAAAACGTTTACAGCTCTCCTTGTTTTCATGGCAATTGTTGAAGAACCTTTATCAATTTTTCTTGTCTCATATTTTCTAGTACTATGACCTCCCCCCCCCCCTCCTCCCAAAATGGAAAGCACTCTTAGAGCGCGCGGTGTAGAAGTTTTGGGAGATAATATATCACCAAGACCTCAGATATTCCTCGTTCTTCCAAAAGCCCCTTCTCCCAAATGGTAATAGGTTTCGATAGACGAGAATCGAATCTCTCCTGAAGAACATGCCATTCGCTCTAGACTCCCCCGTAGGGCTGCGACCCTCTTCAAACAGTTTAGAGACTAACGATAATGTTCAGTAGACAACAGTCGAATCTTTTATTGCAGAGTGGTATTCCATACTCCTCAGACCCCTCCGCGGTTCGTTCTCTATCGAAACGTTTAGAGCACATGACACTAAGCGAAAGAACAAAACGCATACTCATTACCTGTCGATATTCTGTAGCCCCCAAATCCGCCTATGGTTTTAGAAAGGTTCTGGAGGGCCAGCAAAATAGTTTTGAGAAGGGTTTCAAGTTATCAAAAAAGGCTAGGATCCCTAGGAGGGCACCAGATTTATCTGGAAAACGTAAGAGGTTTTGAACTGTTTTCCTTTCAGGGATATTCAACGCACATTAATCAAAACTTCTATATAGTCTAGGCGATAGAGACTGTAAAATTGGCAAACTGGACATTTTGAGGTGGAAAAGAAAAAATTGGTGGAATACGTTCAGTTAGCTGTCAGAAACAATATGTTAAAAATCCTACCCCCCAAACCCTTTGCCAAACCAGCCCAGTTAGATGTTTTTATCGCCTAGACTAATGTGGAAATTTAAATTTTATATTAAAATACGATTTCGGGTGAAATTTAATACAAAACTCGTCAGTAAAATGAATTACTGAATAGTAATGTGTCATTTTCCTGACTTTTATGTAAATAACTATTACAGTAACCGCACGATCGTCTCTTTTACGCAGGGAATTTCTCTTTCGACATAATCAGGCATGTTATATTAATTCAGCTCTGCTGGCAACTCATAACGAATTGTTTGGAAGCTAACCTGTTGAAAACATGCTGGCACTATTTCCGGTTGTGAGTACAGTGAATCTCACAAACGCCGCTCATACGGCTTTCGGTACGAACGTTGACTTAATAAACTTGTAACAAATATAGCAAGCGAGCTCCTGGGTTACTGAACATTTAATCAGTTATTTCTTGGGTGGAAAATTCGAAACCGTTTGGGAGTTATCTTGTCAACAGACGGACGGACGACCAGAAAGTCCAAAATCATGAACTCGTTAATAATGAAGTTTGTGCGATCTATTAATTCTTTCATGTTCACAATATGTAAATTAAAAATCGTTCAACCGCCGACCGGCATATATTCTCTTTGAAGAATTCAGTCAGAATACCTGTCCCCCACCAGATATTTACTTAAATACCTCGTCGAATCCCAGTGCAAACAGACACCTTTTTCCAATAAATCCGGAACTTTCAGCACGTGTTCGAATTTCGCAACGTTTTAGGTCTGGGAGACACTGTAACGTTTCGACTCTTATCTGCGCAAACGCTTGTTCCTTACACTTTATTTTCTCGAGTACCAGTACATTTGTAAATTTAACGAAAAAAATCTTTAAAGTCTAAAGCGACCACCTGTTACACCCTTACTCCTCAAATGTTTAGATTGATGATTTTCGTGGAAGACATTCAAATCCTGTCTCAAGGGTATTTTGAGTTTTCAGTGTGAGTGCGGCCGTTTTCAAATAGTTTACAATCTCTATAATAATTTTCGGTAGACGACAGTGGAATTTTTCGTTATTGAGAAGGGGGAGAGATTCCATACTCTCCAGACCCCTTGCTAGTACGTTCTCTATCAAAGCGACACCTTCATGATCATTTTAGGGAAAGAACAAAACACTATAATAATCTATCAACTGAAGATCGATAGGGAACTCCTTGCAATAGAAGGAGAGCCAATGGAAGTAAATATCGGGGCTGCAGCAAGAAACAAACTAAAAAACCGGAAGGCCAGTGGACGAGAAGGAATCATAATAGAGATGATCAAACACGGCACAGATAAAATCACTAGATTGTGGGGAATGGGGCTCCGGTTAAATAACACGGACTTATTTACATTACAGTTTGCATAACTCATCATAGCACAAGAAAAAGAGGGCCCGAAAAATAAAAGAGGCGTACGATAAATGCGGTTTACGGATGAGCATGGATAAAACAAGGCACCTATGCGTTGGAAACCCAGCGGAAACCAACGTAGTTCTCAAAGGAGGTGAAGAAATCGAAGTAGCTGGGAATTAAAATTACTACAAATGGGAGAGATAATGAAGAAATAAGACTAGAGAATCAGGCAAGTGCGAAGAGCAATAAAGAGACTAAATGGAATATGGTGGAGTGAAGAAATAACGAGACGAAAAAAAGCGAATATATAATACAATCGTGAGAAGCCATCTAGCAATGTATGAGCGAAAGAAACCTGTGGGAGGAGTAATGCTATATAATAGAGACAGCGACGACAGATGCTATAAACTGAAAATATTTCTACGAGTTAAAGAAATCTGTCGTTACTTTAATTGCAAAGTATTTTACTACGAAAATTTAGTTTGGTTTCGTTTTCTAATAAGGACGGTACCAATGTACTATTTTACTAAAAGCATATAACAAACTGCCTTCCTATTTACTTACATAACAAGCAGCATAGATGCCATAGATAAATAGATTCAGGAATAATTAAAATCCACAGCGTTTTATATTAATTACACAATCATATTATGTAATATGCAATTGCCAATTGTTTTGAAGGTTGGAAGTGAGCAATTGTTTGACATCTTTTGCGAACCTCGTCGAGGTCGGCAAAGTACAAAGCACCAGGAATCCGAATCAACTCACAATTGATGGAGGTCTGTTTGTCTGTACTTCCAAGAAATCATCGACTGTGTAGTTCAGTGGTAGAGCGTTGGTCTGCATAGTCGGGAGGTCGGGTGTTCGAATCTGGGCCGAGGTAAGAATTTTTCATCTGTGGAAAAGATGGGAATTTCGTTCAGATCAGTTAACATTCTGCCGACTATTCCGAATTAGGTTTTCCTAATTCAGGGGCACCTCTAAGAAGCATTATGCGAGTCTGAGGAGTAAACCGCTGGTTTAAAACGTGTACACCATTACTAGTCCAGTCAAATGAGCTCCAAAAGTAGTCTAAACTGGATGTTGTCACTTCACTTAACGAGACCAAGTGCATTTCGATTAAAAAAATCTGCTGAATCCGAAAATTATAGCCCCCCCTGGCCGGAAACTCCCGGAACATATTGTTATAAACAAAAAAAACGAAGAAAAAATTATCAAATTCTCCGTGTAAGATCGAAGGGACATTTTTGTGTGGCAGATCAGTATTCTTTTTAGCCAGTTTTGACTCCACCACCAAAAGTACCACATTCTCTTTGCCGGTACCCACTTTCTACATCCCGCTCGACGTCCCGTATTTTGCATTTTGCTAAATTTCGCTAAAAACCTTTCACAAAATAGTACTCAATTTTGGGGCACTTCTCATAGCTCGACCTTTTATTGGCGACACGAGAAAAAGAGACCGCGATTCAAGCATTAAGAAACTTTAAACGGCGTGACAAAATTCGCAGCTGAAGATACCATTTGGGCATCCAAAGTTGACTACCCTTCGAAGGTACGTGAGATTAAAAGCTACCTTTTTACAAATAAATTTGCAAAAATGCGTTAAAATGGGAAAATCTCGTTTTTTTCGCATTTGACTTCAATTGTCTCGTTAAAAATGAAGAGAAAGAATTTGTTTAGAATCGAATTTTCCATACGATATAGTTGGTCCGAAACGTTCATGTTCAAATGTCATTGTGTTTTACGGAAAAATATAAAAAAAGAAGCCCGAAAGTTAACAATCTGTTTTACAAGTATAATTCATCCGACTTTTTTGAAAATCCGTATTTGGTCACTGCTTTTGATGACAAAACAATATTACAAAACCGATCACCGTAGGTATTATAGTGATTGTTTAATTAAATAAACAAATTTTAAAAAAAACTATGCTTTGTTTTTCACACTAAGAGACTCCCAAAGCGTTCTCAATTTTTTTTACAGATGGTGAAACATCCGGCCCAAACCGTAATTTGACTGGACTATACTCAAAATGTTGGATTACCACAAAGTATTATCCACTATTACTCAATATTATTCATGTAATTAATTAATATTATTACTTAGTATTACTCGAGTAATACCCAATACTATATTCAAGTAACATACACCATTGCGCAGTATTACTTGTGTAATACCTTAGTGTAAACTATGGTAATACTCACTAGTACTCAGTATTACCCGTAGGTATTACTCGTTTGATCCAAGTGGAATTTTATAACTGTGTCCAAGTAGACTGGCTAAATTTAAGGAAATGGTATAATTTGGGGGTACCAATTTTCCTTTTTACCACGGTTAGACACATGCATTAGGATGTAAAAAAACGATAATTGCCATCTCAAAGTGGTAGCTAATAGAAATGGCGGCCAATCCAAGATGGCGGATGTTGAGTTTTATAAAATTAACTATACCTATCTTTAGAACTATTGGTCCGACTTCATCATTTTCTTAAATGAAAGCTTTTGTGTGTGCTACAATATTGTCATAACTACATTTCCGATAAAATCAACAATTTGTAACTAATGCATGAAGTAAACGAACGGAATTTTTTTTAACTCTTAACATTTAATGAAAACTAAATTAACCCCATCGTTACTTTCAAAAGTTTCATATACACTAAAATCTGCTCCTTCTTCCTTTCTTCAGTGACGTATCCACAAGTTGGCAGTTTGCATGCGCTTGTACACTTTAAGTTATTAGCATTACGTAATGGTAGTTGTCAAGAGCCAGTTTGGTAATTCTACGTGAGGTGATATGGAAGCCAAACTTAGGGTTATCTTTCATCTTTTTGCTGCTACCGGAATAGCATCTCTTTGATTTTGACGTACAATTTTCCAAAGTATTTTTTGTTTTATATAATCTACTTATGTCAAATTATCGGCACAGTATACACCTTTCCATCAATATTAACAAACTCATTGCTGACGTTATGGCTACAAGCCGTATTTGATCGTATTTATTGCAAGACAGTCAGTCTTGTCAGTTGTAAAGTTCTTGTTTACCGTTAAGCGGAAACGTGTGTCACGTTTTACGAGGAAGTTAGTGAAAGTGCTGTGTTTATCGAACAGGCGTCGCTTATCTGAAGCCTTTCTTTAAGGTTTTCCCAGTACTCGTTAAAGGGAGTTTTTTCACATCTGTAATTACAACGAACCCAGTGTCGTCCAAATTGAGATACAAGTTCAATTAAAGTAGAGAAGTGAAGGTTTAGAAACATAATCCGCACATACCAATTTCATCATCATTTGTTATTTGATCATGGCTACAATATATCTATAGACGTAACTACAATGATTTTTGTATTTAGTAATTATTTTAATTTTAATTCAATTGTTTGATCAGCTAAAGCTGTGAATAATCGTTTACTTTTGGTTGGCTTATGAGATTTTGTGTATCTTCGGTTTGCAATATTTATTAAACCGAATTTATTTTTGCGTATCTTGCATATTTTGATATCCTTTGCATTTACGTGATAGAATTGCATATTTTAAGATGTATTTAAATTTTTGTTAGATTTAATCGATTTTAATTTCAATTTTTAATACATTTTTTCGGATTTTTATAACGGACGCGATAATGAAACATACTGCAAAAGCCGAAAGGAACATTTATTGATTTAATTGATGTTTAATTTTATCATTTCCAAACTATTTTATCTTTCTCTTTCTCTACGGTGATGATGGATGATATTGTGGAAGGTTTGGAAATTGCTCCGAATAGTTTGTCCTTTTCTAATGCACATATTACTTTAGTTGATGTAGTGTATAGTTTCTCTGCTTAGTGCTTATAAATTAATTCTTAGCGACAGGAGACAATCATTTCGTGCAGAAAACTTAGAGAAACATCTTATTGCTAGTGTTTATCGTAATTCCTTTTTTATTAGAAATTATTCAACATATATAATTTTGTATACGTGTGCATATATATCAAAACTGTTTGCATATTTTTCACTAATATTCTGCATAATATGCGCATAATTTTACCATTCATTGTGTATTAATACAGGCAGTAAAGAGCATTCGGGAAACAATTTTAAAAAAAACATGTTTTTAAATTACTTATTAACAGTTGATTTTATCGAAAAAGTACTAATAACAATATTTATAGCACATATAAAGAGCTTTCATTAAAAAAAAAGATTAATGAAATTGGATCAATAATTCCAGAGATATAGTTTACTTTATAAAACTCTACATCCGCCATCTTTGATTGGCCGCCATTTCTATTAGCTACCGCTTTGAGATGGCAATCATGATTTTTTGGCATCCTAATAAACCTGTATAACCACTGCAAAAAGGAAAATTGGTACCCCCAAATTATACCGTCATGTCGACTGGCCCATGGACTAAAGATAGGAATGAGAAGCATCGGGAAATCGGAAACAGGGTGGGGCCATTAGTGCGTGTGTGAAAGATTGTGGGTTTATTAACGCCCATATTTAAAATTCATTATCGGGGCATGTTGAAGGCGCTGAAATCATTACCATGTCCTTAATGCTACAACCTAAAAATATTGCATTTGTTATACAGGGAGATTTATATCACAGTTGGCATTTTTTAAATGGAACCCCCTGTATATTACTACATATTTCGATTTCTTGGTCAATTTTAGTGTGACTTTGTGTAGTACACCATATGAGTCGTCGTTTTTTTAAAAAAGGAGCTGTCAAGTGAAAATATCATAAAACTGAGATGGCAGTATTACTAATCATGAACTGTACTAACATACGCCGAAAGGCTAAAGCTAAAGTTCTTTTGTGTTAAAAGAAATCACTCCGTCAATTTTCAAAATTTCAATCTAAGGTAACTTGATTTTTTTAATGGAACTACAAAGTTTTTTTATCGCATCAAAGTATGACTTTTTTAACGATATAAACATGTCTGCCATAGCATTGTTTAAATACTTTAGTAATGGGCACAATATCATGCCTCTAAATTATATTTTACGACCTCATTTTCAGAGAGGTCGTAGAAAAAGTGCGAGACAATTAAATTCAGAATAAAAAGGGCTTTGTGATATGACACCGCAATATCAGGGCCGTATTTTAAAAATAAAGTTGTAGGCGAAGCGTCGGAAAATTAACAGAACCACCTTAAGCCAGAAATAAATACTTGGTGAAAATTCCGATTTTTTCAAAATATTCCAATAACCAAAAAAATTTTCGGAGATTTCTAAACGCCTTCTTCGTAGGCCTTTTCTCCCATCTAAACAAACTTGTTACCCTTTTTGAAAAACTGCAAAAATATTAATGCCATCAGTAAAGATATGTCGAAATGGAACTATCTTTATGGGCATGTCGTGCCAATGGTGACGCGTTTCCCTTTACTCTTATAACCTCTTTTTATCCATTTCAGCGCATTCCATATTAATGCAAGCTTTCTCTCCCTCTTCATTTTTACTCAGAAATTAATGAAATTACAGATTTTAATAATAATCACATTTACAAATCCCCCCCCCCCCCCACCCTCACACTACAATCTGCACCCGATATGTAGTTTTCGGTTTAATGAAACAATATTTTCTTAATCTAGATGGCCATGAACGGAATAAAAGTGTTATTTCTTTTCTATCGACATTCCATAGTTCCCCTCAAAAATATCCCCCCCCCCCCCCGACTATTTATTTTTATTTTTTTAATTTAATTTTTTGTCTTTATATTTGAGGGGGCGGAGTTTCAGCCAAGGCTCCAACCCACTATACATTTGCAACTGTCCATGTCTGAACCAGGGTCTTAGCACCGCGGTCCAGCTTCCACTGAACTGCGTCACACGGGCCCTAGTGACGACTCTCTATTAACGACAATCGAATCTCTCCTGAAGGGTGTGCCGTTCGCTCCAGACTCCAAGGTAGAGGTGCGGCCCTTTTCAAATAGTGTAGAGACCTAATCTTAATTTTCTGTAGACGACAGTCGAATCTTCCTTTGCCATGAGGTATTCCATATCTCCCAGACCCCCCGGTAGTACGTCCATAGAATCGGTTAGAGCTAACCGCATTGTCATGATAACTTCGAGTCGATTATAATCTTTGGTAAATGATTATTAAAAAAGTGTGTTTTAATCCTTTTTATTAACGATGAAAGGTCGACTAAAAAATAATTAATTAAACTGAACAAACAACTAACTCACCATACTTGTTTAAAATAATAATAAATTCCAATATCACAAATGTATGTGTTTAAATTCAGTCGTTACTTTAATGTTAGGATATGAAACTTTGATTTGGTTTCGTTCGAATTTCTAATAAAAATGCCATTTCCACGCATAGATAAATAGATGGCATATGAAAATTGAATTACTTAGAAATTAGGTCGCCTAATCGCTTAGACATCCCCACCACTTCTTGAGAACGCGTGGAGGAGGTAGCAGTTTGCTTTAAAAGGGCGCACGCCGACAGTCTTGGCGCTTTTCTGCAATGAACCGATCCCCAGAGCAACCTTTTTTTGGGCTAATCACAAAATGCCTGTGTTCTGTAGGATGTGTTCTGGCAAGAAGCTATAACCTTAAGAAAAAAATGGCTTTAATAATATCGTCTCTCGTGCCTTTGCTATATCTGTGCTTAGCACTACCAGATTGGATTACGTACTTGGTGAACTTCAACGCCAAGGGTGACGCGAGTTATGATGAAGTGATGTATATGTTCGCTTTTATTTGTGGTATGAAGTGCACAAGGTTTTCATATTTCACAATCCCTTTCAGCAATCGTCCGAAGTATATGCATGAAGTTCCACGTCCTCAAGCTGGGCAATCTTCTTTACACCATGGAAAACATTGATGTTCCACGGGTAAAACCGAAATTAAAAGTGAACGCGGACATTGCAAAGAGTCAAAAGATCCTGAACCGAATTGTGAGTAGAATAAGAGATACGTAGCACCAATATTTTTAGTTTCCTAGCTCGAGCTAGGTCGCTATTGCCATTTTTAGGCATATTAAAATTTCATCAAATGCATTTTAAGCAACTTTTAAAGGATAACATTTTTTCCCTCTGCATGTATACCTGGTAGACATACGGAAACGAAAAATAACGGGCCTGATTTTTTTTCAAATAGCAACACAAGATTTACAATCTTCAAAAATTATGCTAGGGTTATTACACAAAAATGTTAAAAAACAGAAATATAATATAACATTTTGGCATAAAGGATGTAAAACTGTCAAAAACGTTGTTTAATGTATGAGTTTTTAGCGCCGTGGCGTCACACAGCTGTTTTTTCGAATAATAACACACATTTTTTTATTGAAGTGCGAAATTTCGAGTGATTACCCATTCAGATACGGGTACTACCGGGAGCAACGTTGCTTGATTGTAGACAATATATGAATTATTAGTAATAAACACAAACAAATGTAAAAAAAGCGTGGAGCCCGAGTATTTACGAGAGAATTTCTTTATTAGAAATGATCGACTATCGGGTACTAATTAGAATTATTAATTTAATGAAGGGTAAACTTCGTTAGCTGTTCGAACAAAGACAACGAGAACCATAATAAATACCGGATTATATACGATAATTTTGAAGCAAGCATGTTTTTCTAAAAAAGACATCACGTTTCAGGGAATGATTTATTGATGTTTACTTGCACTTGTATAATATCAAAAAATTATGTAAAATATTCTTCATATGGACGGGTTGTCCCTTAAAGGTGCCTTTAGTGCGAGGGAGATTTGTGATTTGACGAATTGGAGATTTTTGTTATTGAAGTGTGAGTGAGGGGAAATCCCTATTAATTAGCTGATCAGAAATCACCCCCACCCCTCAAATTATCGAATCACCAATTACCCAAATCCCCGCCGCACTAAAGGCACCTTAAGGTCAACTCCTTATTCTACTAAACTTTCATTGGAAACGTTTTTTTTCCTTACACTTACCATTTTTTTGACACTTTCCTAAATGCGCAATTTTTGGTTTGAGCTAGGAAGCTGCTGTGTTATGAATTTGGCATTTCTTATTTTAAGGTGGCGTTTACGATTCCACTCGGAGGTATAGGTGTACTACTCACAGCTGTACGGTGGTACGTTAAAAAGGAACATTCAAACCACTTACCCTCGCACTTACCATTTGCTGTGCATCCTCAATGGGCGTTGAACATTTCCTACATTGGCTCTTTAATTTTTCAGCTTATATCGTATATAATTATAGGTACTGAACATGTTGCTGTTGACTGTCTACTTGTATGCATGTTGATTCTTCTTCTAATGCACTATCGCAATATTCCACAATATTTTTATAATCTTACGAGCAACAGTATTGAAGATTTTTCCGATGTGAGTGATGGATCATGGAATAAAAGCCATTCTCATGTATACATACAGGTTGAACATTTGGATGCTAATTCCGTACAATACAAAGACGTTCCTTGGGAGTACTTCCTCAGGAACCTAAAAGAAGCAATTGAATATCACGTAAAACTTATAGAAGTTGCTAAGGAAATTGAGGAAATTTTCCACAACGTCCTTCTAGTTAGTTTCACAATGAACAGCCTAGTGACTTGCTTAATAATCTTTCGTATTACTAATGTAGTAACTCAAAATTGCATAATTTGCATAAAATCTAACCATTTTTCAGACTCCATTATTCGGCGCCGCCTTTTGGAATATGTTTCTGTACCTCAGCGGAACTTTCGATTTATTTTTCTTGCAATGTTGCCTGCTCCAGAAGATAATTAATGAATCTTGGAATATATCTCACGCCTGTTTTGAAGCGTATCATCCTGGGCTGGATATTCGTATACATAAAGCGTTGGTGATTGTTATGAACCAATGTCAAAATAGTCCTGTTCGTGTAACAATTGGAAAATTTGTCGCAATCTCTCATGCTACAATTATTGCTGTAAGTGAATTCAAGAATCAATTTGTATATACATATATTCTCTCTTTACAGATTATAAGATTAATTTACTCGTTTTTGATGTTGTTACTTCATCTGAAAGCACAGCAGTAATCTTCAATGAATCGTAATAAATTAATTAGACCTTCTTCATAGATTCTTTAATAATATTAAAATTTAGTTTGTGCTACATGTTTCGACATATCCATGACATCTTCAGGCAAAAGAATAAATTACAACAAAGTGGCTAGGACAGTTAAGGTTAAAGTTAAAATTGACCGAAAACTACGTCAGAATAAAAAGTACCGAAGAGCCAAGAAGGTCCGGTATAACGAGGCGAAAGCTTCGACGTCTCAGAAACAAATTCGATTAAAAATTTAAAATCAGGAGGCTGAAGGGACGAACCAAAAAGGTTAGGTGTGACGTGACAATCTTCATTAGATCAATTAATAAACGAAAAAATTTAAAGATGAAAGGGATGAAGCCCAATTTAAACTCATAGCTGGAGTAATTGCAATGGTAGAACCATGGGGATAGTTAATTAATTAAACATTTATATTTTATCCTCTTTCGCCTCGTTATATCGGACCTTCTTGGCTCCTTTTATCTTCGGTACTTTTTATTCTGACGTAGTTTTCGATCAATTTTAACTTTAACCTTAACTGTCCTAGTAACGATGTAACCACTTTGTTGTAATTTATTCTTTTGCCTGAAGACGAATGGAGATGTCGAAACATGTAGCACAAACTCAATTTTAATATTATTAAAGAATCTATGGGGAAGGTCTAGTTAATTTTATTACAACATTATGGACAGCACCCACTGGATCTTCAATAAAGTCTTTGTGTATAGCCGACCAATGTTATATTTGGTTATTAGCAGCACAAATTGCACTGCACTCGATAAATATGTACATTGTATATGTGTGCATTTAGTTTTGATGGGTAAATACATTTGTTGAATTTTATTTTAGTCTCTTGCCACCTATCAATCACATTTCCAACCTTTCGAGCAGTCAGCAATATAGGTACGTCATTTAGTCATGAACACAATTGATAGTGGACCAGCAGGCGACGTAAATTTGATGTAGGAATGGGTTCGAGTTTTTAGTTTCTTTGCAATGATAAAACTAGCAATTGCAAAAAAAACTACTATAGTTAATATGAGAAACAACTAAAGGTACCTTTACACTGTCATACTTCTCATGTGATTTGTCATATGATAAGTAACAAGCATTTAGATTTGTGTTTACACTATACTATTTTTGGTATTATGGCTGTCATAAGACAAATCATAATTTTAAATATCCAAGTGATCCCGCCCTTTTATGGTTACTTTTCGCATTTTGCTGTTGTACTTATCTGAAAAAGCTGAATACTTGAGTAAACCAGTAAACTTTTGATTATATCATTGATTATAAGTGTGTATAATCAATGATTATAGGTATATTAGTTACTAATGAAAGAATAAATTACATAAACAATAAATCGAGCAATAAATATTTACGAGTATATTGGTATTTGGTTGTCTGGTTGTAGTGGTGTCTTCAGACACACATTGTCAAATAGTGTCTTGATTGGTAATTAACCCTTCAAATGTTTGGGGTAATCTTTCAAATAAGGGTACACTCATCCTTAATGTCGACCAAGGGGACGACTCTGTTTGCTTTGTTAATGAAACGCATAACGGAGAAATTATTTTTAAAATAATTGTTAAACTTTTTTCGTTAAAAATGTACTATGATTTTTGAGGCACTTTAGAAGTTCACCTATTTGTGCTTTACAGGTGATTTTTTTGAGTTCTAAGTTAGCCTGAAGGTACTTTTTTGTTGAATACTTATTGTGATAATTAGCGATTTATTTTAATACAGAAGTTAACCGCACAAAATTGCTTATTTGCCAATTTATTTAAAATTTTGCGGGATCCCGCAAATACCGGGTTCCCGCGGGATTAACATCTAACGATCCCGCAAATTGAGATTGAGATTTTGCTGCGGGATTGCATTCCCTAGCTGTAACTTTTGAACTAGTAGCCCAATCTTGGAACTGTTTGAAATTATGGATTCTACAGTTCTATAAGAAAATTTTTTTTCCAAAAATCGACTGCACCAAAATTTCTCGGGAAAACACTTTTTCTTATTAATTTTGGTGCGTAGAATCCAAAACAATTCGTACTTTTTCGATCAGACTTCTCATTCAAAAGTTATAGACTAGAAACCAATTTCGAAAGAAAATTCAAAGGGCTGTAACTTTTGAACTAGTAGCCCAATCTTGGAACTTGGAACATTTTAATTTAGAGAAGTTATATATGGTTTCGTAACTTCTTGTATTAAAGTCATATGAAAAACCTGTCAAGTGTAAAGTAAAACATTACAAACTCATACGAAAAATATGTTGATAGTAAATATCATATAACATATCATATAAAAAATCATGTGAGATATATTATAGTGTAAAGGTACCTTAACAATTGCAAGTCAAAACTAACAATTCCAAAGAAAACCTAGCTATTGCAAGTAAAAACTATCAATCGCAGGGGAAGTAAAGTAAATTTCCTTCGTGGCCCCTACACGCTTTCGTACGTAATCTAGGAAAGCTTATTTTTGAAAGATGAATAACTCAGGTCTGAAGTGACTTTTATACGATAGACGATTATCCCACCCGACCTTTGAGATCCTTAACTGTTGCATGATAATTTTTTAAAGGGTCATACGTTCTGAAAATTTCATATAAAATATATCCAGAACAAGAGAGGGACAATAAGTAAATAAATCTCTTAGTAACCGACCACGGGAAGAGAAAAGAAATTATCATTTATTGGATTCCACTGTAATCCTAGAACTTTAATAGAAGATGTTCCACTTTTTAAAGTCGAAGAGAGTTTGATTTTCGCAATTCAAACCCGTCTAATTCCATAAGTTTAAGTAATTTTTTCAAAAGCTCTGTTTTTCTCCTCTCTGGCCTCCCTTTTAACTCTTGGGGTGTATTAACCTCACCAATAAAAAATTGGGACCTTATTCAAATCACTCCAAAATTCGAATTTGAGATTTCATCGGATTGGCACGTTTCAAGGTCTTAGGGGTCAAAGAAAATGGTTTTTGAGGGCCCAGAACAAGAGAGGGATAATAATGTAAGAGAATTCAATTTACTAACTGTTTTAGCAGTGCAGATTTTTAGAATTAAAAAAAGACTTCGGTAATTTTAGCGTTTTAAATGAGACGGTTATGCTTTTTTTTCAATCGTAAGATTGCTCGCTCGATCGATGGCTTTATGCCCCTCGATTTAAAAGAAAACGGATGGACCGATTACGATGAAATTTTGCAGGTGGATTCTTTATCAAATTTGTAGATCGGAGTTCGTGAACTGGCAATGAACGCCAAAAAATAAGGAAGGCTCTTTTGACATCTCCGTTAGTTATGAACCGAATTGCATGAAATTTTGTATGTGGGCTTTTCGGATAAAAGTAAAACGAATGCCGAAATAAAAAATTTGTTTTGCGCATGCGCAATCCGTTTTTTTAATTTTTCAAAATATTGAAAGGAAATGCAGTATACATCCTCGTTACCACTGACAGCGTCAGGCAAAGTGCTATAGGCACCTCGAATAGAAGTAAGTAAAAGAATTCCTGGGAATTCCCAAGACTTCCCGAAGAATTCTTTGAAATTCCTGCGACTTTCCAAAGAATTCCTCGGAATTTCCGGGATTTTCCAAAGCATTCCTGGGAATTCCCAAGACTTCATAAAGAATTCCTGGGAATTCCTAAGACTTTCCACAATGGCCTTCACGTAGCTCTTGATGCCATTGAAATTTGTAGGACCGAAATTAATTTTTTTACAAGATTCTTAAAATACGGCCATGATGTAGACCGACGTTGGGTTTACTTTTTGTTTTATAAAATTTCGTGGCATCACAGATTATTGAAAAAGATGTGGGTTTTATTTTTCCAATTCTCCGTCTTTATTTATTATTTATTTATTATTATCCCTCTCTTGTTTTGGGCCCTCAACAGGCATGCGCCCAATTACAGAGTGAATTATGAAAAAAATTGAAAACTAATACGATTGATTGGGGTAAAAAACTGTTTTCTACAAAAAAACTTTTTTGCTCTAAAATAATTTAGGGAGCCAATAATCTCATGCATTTTACATTGAAATCCCTATGTTGCGTTACGGAAGTCACCACCCTGTATGTCATAGCCAAGGCGATTGTAAATGAGAAGTTAATGCTAATAGATTTCTGAAAAGTTACGTGAAAGGTGTTCCAGGCGGAGTGGGATTGCATGGGACCAAAATTCCGTTAGCAATTCTTAAAAGGGCTAATATGTGATAAATTAATAAAAAAATTGTTTTTTATTCCTTTTTATTAATGATGAAAAATCGACTAAAGAATAATTAATTATTGATCTAAATAACCCACCCTTGATCATAATAATAATAAATTCCAATATCACGAATGTATGTGTTTAAATTCAGTCGTTACTCTAATGCAAGGATATGAAAATTTGATTTGGTTTCGTTCGAATTTCTAATAAAAATGCCATTTCAACGCATAGATAAATAGATGGAATATTAAAAATGAATTTCTTAGAAATTAGATGGCCTACTTTGGTAGCGACATCCCCACCATTGCCTGAAAACGGGTGGAGGAACTAGCAGTTTGCTTTAAAAGGGAGCACACCAAGACTCTTGGCGCCGTTCTACAATGAACCGAACCCCAGAGAAACCTTTTTTTGGGCTAATCACAAAATGCCTATCTTTTATAGGATTTGTTGTGGCAAGAAGCTATAACGTTAAACAAAAGGTCGCCTTAGTAATATCGTCTCTCGTGCCTTTGCTATATCTTTGCTTAGCTCTACCAGATTGGGTTACGTACATGGTGAACTTCAAAGCCGAGAGTGAAGCGCATTCGGATGATGTGATGTATATGTTCGCTTTTATTTGTGGTATGTGTTCATTGCACGAGGTTTTCATATTTCACAAGCCCTTTCAGCAATCGTCCGAGGAATAATACTAAGGTTAAACGTCCTCAAGCTGGGCAATCTTCTTCACACCATGGAAAACATTGACGTTCCACGGGTAAAACAGAAATTAAAAGTGAACGCGGAAATTGCAAAGACTCAAAAGATACTAAACCGAATTGTGAGTAGAGTAAGAGATACGTACCAACAATATCTTTTTAAGGTGGCGCTGTCGTTTTCACTTCCAACTGTAGCTGTACTATTAACAACTATACTATGGTGCGCTAAAAAGGAACATTCGAATCATTTACCATTTGCTAAGCATCCTCAATGGGCGTTAAACTTTACCTACATTGGGTCTCTAACTTTCCAAGTTGTGTCATTTGAACTTACAGGTACTGAAAATGTTAATGTTGACTGTCTACTTGTTTGCATGTGGAGTCTTCTCATAACGCACTGTCGCAATGTTCCGCAATATTTTTATAATCTTACGGGGAACAGTATTGAAGATTTTTCTGATGTGAGTGATGGATCGTAGGTAAACAACCGTTCTCATTGTTTGTACATACAGGTTGAACATTTGGATGCGAATTCTGTGCAATACACAGACGTTCCTTTGGAGTACTTCCTCAGGAATCTAAAAGAAGCGATCGAGTATCACGTAAAAATTATGGAAGTTGTTAAGGAAATTGAGGACATTTTCCACAACGTCCTTCTACTTAGTTTCACAATGAACAGCATAGTGACTTGCTTCTTAATCTTTCGTATTACTAATGTACTAGCTTAAAATTGCAAAACTTGCAAAAAATTTAACCATTTTCAGGTGCCACTATTCAGCCTCACCTTTTGGAATATGTTGCTGTACCTCAGTGCAACTTTAGATTTATTTTTCTTGCAATGTTGTCTGCTCCAGAAGTTAATCGATGAATCTTGCAAAATATCGGACGCCTGTTTTAAAGCGTATTGTCCTGGCATTGATATTCGTATACAAAAAGCGCTGATGATTGTTATGAGCCAATCTCAAAATCGGCCTGTTCGTGTAACAATTGGAAAATTTGTCGCAATTTCTCATGCTACAATTATTACTGTAAGTCAAATCCAGAAACAATGTTTATACACGAATAATTGTTTTACAGATTATAAGAGTAATTTACTCGTTTTTGATGTTGCTACTTCGTCTGAAAGCACAGCAGCAACATTCAATGAAGTCTTAACCGAGGTCTTAACTGACCAATTTTCTATTTTGGTCATTAGCACCAGAAATTGCACTATACTCGATAAATATTTGTCCAGATATATGTATTGTAATATGTGATGGGTAAATACATTTGTTGAATTTTATTTTACCTTTTTGCCACCCATAAATGAGTTTCACATTCCCAAGCTTTCATTTACCAATCTACGATTGTTGTCATGTTAACATGTATATTAATTATGGTCGAGATTATGGTTAAATTATTTGTTTAACCAACCACGTATAAATTACCTAAAACAACGTATTGCGTGTGAAAGTGTGGGTGAATTCCAAAAATCTAAAAATGTACAAGGTGTGCCATTTCAATTGGTAACAAGTGATATACTATTTGGGTTTACAGTGTTCAATTCGTTATTTCTTATATCACCTTGCAGAAGGGTTATAAATTCTACCACACCGTTATACAGAGTGATTTTTTTTTTATTTTCACTATGGGGCTCTCGTAAACCGTAAGAGATACGAATTAGTTTATAATGGAGATTAATTTTCTTGTAGCTCCACAAATAGCGAAGTCATGGTCAAACAACCATCATTTTCGAAAATGCGATGGCGTTCATTTATTTTCAAAGATATCAAACAATAATTTTAACAAACCCGCAGTGATTTTTTTTTCAGATTTCTGATGGTCCTGAAATAAAATTTGTATGACCTCTGGATTTCGAGTAAATTCCATCAACTTTGCGACGAGCTTTCGCCGGAAGCTTACACACTAAGGGTGGCTTCGTTTCTCTTTCACAAAAAAACCCAAATTAAACGGTATAATTACAAAATGACAGTGCAACGCAAAATGTAGCTGGGGAAAAGGGAAAAGGTCGATGATTTAAATACGGTACGGTTGCAAAAATAAATTTACGGCAAAGTTCAAAATTTCGGTACTTACACAACTTAACTGGCGAGGATGCAAACGGCAAAAGATCCAAAACGCAAAAAGATTCTATTTGATAGTACGTTTACTCTTTATCTAAAAGTCTATTTGAGTAGGGACAAATTGGAATTCTAATCTCGATACGTTCATAAGAATTAAAATTGTTTTTAATTAACTACGTCCTTCCCACACGTCTTAAAAATACCGGACGTATGTCAAAATTCAAGTTAATTAAGAGCGGTTCTTTTGAGATTCGACCAAGCTCAATCGGACGGGAGTCTGCGACTCACTTAAATATCAATTATTAATTGAGCGCATCCCAAGTCCAACATTCGTTAATCCAATGGTGTGCGTAACAAAGCACCTCGAGTGTATACCCCCTTTTTCTTCAGAACGTGTCCTAAAACAAACTCCTTCACAACGTGGTGCAAATATTTCAGCGACAGGCGGCAAAATTTACACTTTGGGGGTTGATTTTGAGACTGTCCCAACGGAGACGGCGCCGGCGGAAAACTTCCCTCAAACTGTCAAAGTGCTCGTTGAACGTTCTCTCCAACACGATAATGTCGTCTAGGTAGAGGAGTTCCATTTCTGGCACAACCACACGGTCCAAAAGACGCTGGAACGCGGCTGGTACGCCCAAAGGGCATGACTTTCAATTGGAAAAATCTTCGACCTCGGCTATGGTGGGAGAAGTGATGGTCAACTAGTTTTGGTCATCTGTACCTGCCAATAACCTTATTTCAAATCGATAATTGAAATGTGGCGGGCTGGAAGGAGGCGGTTCAGAATCCCATTTATAAACGGTAATGGGTAGGCATCTTTAACGGTAATAACGGACGGGGGTCGGTACCTTGAATCGCAGCGGCCGAGGGAAAGAGGTTACCCGAATTGGGCGGATTATTTTGGATCCGACACCCACAGCGGTCGGTCGGTTGCGCCACTGGGACCTCCAATTACCAATTTGGTCATGCCTCCAGCGAACTGGAGCCTCGGCAGATTTACTGATTGCAGGAGGTCTGGAAGGGGCGCTGTGCGGAGGAAGAGTCCAGTTCCGGCTAGGGGTGTTTGATTGCCTCTGAATGGGCTGCGAAGAAACCCACTGCCTTCGGTCTTGAGTGGAAACTGGTTCGGTGAATCTAAAGGACCTAACGGTTCGGATCGGTAACGGATTACTGGCATTAAAATCGGTACGGTTTACGGATTCGGTACGATTTCGGTCAAAATCGATACGGTTTCGGTAAGATTGGTACGGTTTGCGACTTGGGTTCGGTTTGGGTCACGATCTTGTGGTTCGTGTCACTACGTAACGGAACGGTTAACTGCGACGGTAGAGCCTAACGGGCTTCTCGATGTAGATCTTCACCATTCTTAACGGCCTGAGTGAACTCGGTTACGGAACGGTAAATTACGGATTTATCGACGGATTAAAGTTTGTAGCTTGGTAATTTATTGACCCCGAGGGCTCATCTGCGCCTCGAGGTTGATGTGATAATCAAATGTCGGTGCCAAGTGCGCCAACGGAGACAGTTGTTCCGGTTCCATTGCAAAGCCAAACCGGTAAATAATTCTGGCAACACAAGTAGTTGATCACTCGGTATATTGTAACCGATACTTGTCATATCTCGGCGTTCCAGGACGGAAATCGGATCGGCTGTAGCAATAACAGCGGTAACCAGTTCATCTTCAGGAATAAGTTCGAGATCGAATGAGATCAACCGGAGGTGCCATTTTCAATTTTTATTTTTTTGTAAATTATTTCGGTTGACTCGCCCTGTATAATAGGTAGGTTTTTCGTTCTGGATACCTACGTGTTGGGTATAGGACATGACTGATGAATGCGCTTCGCCACATCCGAGAGTTTTCTCGCAATTTTTTACTTGAACTTTCGACGATTTCCAGCTGTTGCTATTGTTAGGGTCAAATTTTTCGCGCTATGAGCGAGAGTAAGAACTTCAATATTTTGAGTAGTGTACGTTTTACTCATTTGTGCCGTTATAGTTCTACTGCACCAATCGCCTGTGAAAATATGTCTTGGGCATCAAAAAATTTGGGTTATGCGTTTGGCATCGAGGTTTTTTTTTCAAACAAAACTGGTGCATTAATATAAATTTTGGTACGTTTTGATTCTATAAGATTTATTGCTCAAAATAGTCTCCACTAGGACACATACAATTATACGGAGATTACCAAAAGTGTCTCTAATCTCTACATTCATGATGTGTTATATTGTGACACTGCCGTTTTCAATGGTCCCCAAAGAAAGAAATCAAGCGAAGTCGAGTCAGGATACCGTGGTGTCCATTTCTTCTACTAATCCATTTACCGGGATATCGTCCATTGAACCACCGTTTAACAACCAGAGCGTAATGTGATTGAAAGTGGATTTTTTCTAGCATCATGTCCCTCTCCAAAGACTGTGCAAATAATCCAGTCAAATTAGCTCTAAAAGTAGTATAAACTGGATGTTGTCATTTCATTGAACGTAACCAAGCATATTCTATGTAGAAAAATCCGCTGAATCGAAAAATCATAGTCCCCCCGGCCGGAAACGCCCGGAACATATTGTTATAAACAAAAAATGAAGAAAAAACGGGAAAATGTCGTGTTTTTTCACATTTGACTGCGAATATCTCGTTAACTATTGCTCTGAGGGAAAAAATGAATAGAAATGAACTTGTTTAGAATATTTTCAACTGTTATTGTTTTTTAGGGAAAAATGTAAAAACAGTAATCTCTAAAATTAACACTTTGTTATTACTAAGTAAAATTCATTCGATCTTTTTGAAAATCCGTCTTTAGTAACTACTTTTGATAACAAAACAATATAACAAGCCAGATCACCGTAGGTTTCATACTCATTGATTAATTAAATAAACAAGTAGAAAAATAGATGCTGTGTCTAGCAAACTACAAGTACAAGAGTGTTCTCAATTTTTTTATACATATTATAACCCTAAAACAATCTTTTCCAATAATTGTCCCGATGATTCCTGCAAATCGACGGACTGTGCAATTTTTTTTTCAAAATCCGAAGAATTTTCTTAGTTAACAAATGGAATAACTCCCGAAATATAACAAAAAACCAGGTGTCAAATTCTTGACAGAATAGCTTCCTAGCTGAAACCAAAAATTGCCAACATATGTTTTTTACGCATGCATTTTGTTTGCTTTTATTAGAGGGACCTACCATCCAATTTTCGTTAAAATTGCTCCATAAATAAGAAAGTTGGATGTTGCACATGCGCAACTCGATTTTTTGCGCATGCATTTTGTTTTCTTTTATTAGGAGGACCTACCATCCAAATTTCGTTTTAATTGTTCCATAAATAAGAAAATTGCATTTCTGCGCATGCGCAACACGATTTTTGCGCATGAATTTTGTTTGCTTTTATTAAAGGGACTTACCATAGAAATTTCGTTTAAATTGCTTCAGAAACAAGATCGTTGCGTTTTGCACATATGCAACACAATTTTTTTGACTTTGACAATTTTTTTCTCCGTTTTTTGATAATATAACCCGGCCCAATTTTTTGTAGGTTGTACACAGGAAAATAAGGTCTTCCAAATAATAGAATAAAAATTTTAGGTTGCTATTTGAAAAAAAAAAGTTCGATGCCGTTACGGCGCTCCAAAATTTTTTTTCAAAAATCCGGCCCGTTATTTTTCTGTTCGGTATGCCTAAAACATATATACAAAATTTCAACAAAATCCGTCGAGCCGTTTTCTCAGAAAATTGCCAACAAACGTACGTACGTACGTACGTACGTACGTACGTACATACAGACGGAAAAAAATTTTATTCTTTAAAAGTTGCTTAAAATGGTCTAAAACGTCGACATTTGATGAAATTTTGAAATGTTCAAAAAACGGCTATCGCAATAGCTACCTAGCACATGCTAGGAAGCTAAAAATTCCCCAGTCCATTGATTTGCAAAAATGATCGGAACAATTATTGGAAAAGATTGCTTTACGGTTCCACTATGTATAAAAAAATTGGGAACGCTCTTGTAGTCCCCCAGTTTGAAAGACAAAGCATCCCTTTTTCTACTTGTTTATTTAATTAATCAATGAGTATGAAACCTACGGTGATC